CACCATCAGCTTTCTTCACCACATTTGCTTAGGCACACATTTGTCTTCAGTGATCATGTCGGGAAGGTGAGCATCAAGGAATGCCAATTTAATAGAACAAAGTGTTCTTGCCTTGAGGGAGTACTTGAGTGGAAGCCCAATGTCCTTCTGCTACCTTAATACTAAACCTAGAAATATATGCACAAAGATCTATTTCCCTATCATCATGTATAAATATATTTACATATGTACATGCCTGTATTTAGACCTCTATAAATCCCCTTTGCTTTCTATTTATTTCCTCTATTTCCTTTGACTTTCCTCTTGTCCCACTATCATGCTCAGTCTTCATTTGGGTTTCAGTAATTCCTCTCAGTTACATTGCCTTTGATTAAGCCCTACCAGGAATCATACACCCTCCCTGCCACTGATTTTAGATCAATTGTTGTTCCCTTGTCCCTGGGTTTGTTAACACAACTTCCTTTCCCCCACCTCACCCCTCTCCCATGTTCCCCTGGAATCACCTGTCCCCTTGTTTTCTCCTCCAGACTGTTCATCCAGCCTATCTTATCTAGATAGACCTGCAGAGATAATATGCACACAAAAACAAGACAGAGCAAAGCAAAAACAAAACAACAACAACAAAAAGACCAAAAAAAGAAAAGCCTGTAAATAGTTCAAGGTCTGCTTGTTGACCTTTAGGAGTGTTTTCCAGTAAAGTCTGATGGGTTGCCACACCCTCACCCCAAAGTCTATTTTTGGTACTCCCTTGGGACTTCCTTGCTCTGTTCCCCTTGTTCTGTTGCACGACCTCAGTGTTTTCCCTCGGTGGGGTGGGATCAGATCAGGCACAATTCCCAGTGTCTCCAGTGTTGTCCCCTGTAGGGCTATGCATCAGTGAGGGATGTGTCTCATAGTGGGGCTGGCCATATGGTCTGCTCTGTACATTGGCTGCTCTGAGCAGGGATATCATCCTCAAGACTTGGTGGGCCAGGATGTGCTCCACTCTCTCTTCCTCCCCCTTCATTTGTTCCCGTGTGCTCTGATCAAACGTGTCACTCTCCCTGAGCTGCAGCTTCTGTGCTGTCCTCTGAAATAAATTCTCTTGGGGGGAGGGGCGGCCACCCACTTAGTTGGGATTGGGGTCGGGCCCTCAGACCTCTCTACTGG